AAGCTTTTCGTGGATTGTTAGTCTTCTCTTGCTACAAGTGTTTTTTTTGTTCCCAAATTTCAATTAATTAAAAAGGCTCGATTCTATTGACCGGGAGCTGCACCGGTGTCCCGCAGAACAAGAAGGTCGTGTCGATTTGTCTGAAGCTCAAGCACCTGTGCAGAAATCTACAGTCTTCACCCGAATAGAACGCCCGGTCATTATAGCTGTATTTGGCACAACTTTCAGACCAGATATGGCGATAATTACCGGGCGTTCTATTCGGGTGAAGACGGTAGTACCTAATTGCGCACAGTTAGCCGCACATAGTTGTGGTCTCCCTTGCGGTTCCAGTGTCCCCAGCTGAGGGGGTTTCCTTCAGTGACCCCCTCCTGTTTAGGGTTCCCCCCCCCCCCCCCCCCCCCCCCCCCCCCCCCCCCCGTCTTCTAGCGGCCCTCTTGAGGGCACCCTGTTATCTACCCTTCTCCCTAGAAATGGGAGGAGCCATAGCCAGTTAGACTGCTGCTCCCTAGAAATGGAAGGAGTCAGCTCCTAGAATGCAAGGAGTCATAGCCAGAAGACTGCTACTCCCTAGAAAAAAAGGAAGGAGTCAGCGCCAGAAGAAGTGCTCCTCCCTAGAATGGAAGGCATTGTAGCCAGAAGACTAATGCTCCCTAGAAGTGGAAGGATTCATCTCCTAGAATGGAAGGAGTCATAGCCAGAAGAGTGTTGTTCCCTAGAAAGGAAGAAGTTATAGCCAGAAGAAGTGCTGCTCCCTAGAATGGAAGGCATTGTAGCCAGAAGACTAACGCTCCCTAGAAATGGAACTAGATAAAAAGGAAGGAGTTATAGCCAGAAGAAATGCTGCTCACTAGAATGAAAGGCATTGTAGCCAGAAGACTAATCCTCCCTAGAATGAGGAGTCATAGCCAGAAGACTGCTGCTGCTCCCTAGAAATGGGAGGAGCTATAGCCAGTTAGACTGCTGCTCCCTAGAAATGGGAGGAGCTATAGCCAGTTAGACTGCTGCTCCCTA